TTGCAAAATTAACAGTGAGAAAACTCCTTGTAGCTTCAGAGGGAAAAGGATTAGCCTTTGAGAGTCCTATTTTTCAGTATACACTGGAAAACCACACTCTCAAGGATGTGTGGTCTTTCTCGTGCTGAAATCACAAGTGTTCCTCAGGGCTGTAGATACATTTTATGCTCAAACCATATGAACTTCAGTGGGACAGATCCCTCATTGAGAGATTAACTTAACTCAGGAGTCAGAGAGGCATTACTTTTTTTTCCCTCTTCAGCGCTCCGGGTGTTTACCAATGTCAGTGATTGCAGGCAGAAAGCCAGAGCTTCCCCTGGAAGAGAGGAGCTTCAAAAATTACTTCTGCAGACCTTCATGAAGAACTAAAGTGAGATCTGCAAGATGAGTTATCCCCTAGAAATGCAACCGCTGGCCAGTAAGAGCACCGAAATATCAAGGGAGCCATTGTCTTCTCCGTGCCAAAGCTGAGAAATATGACGTTGGAAAATATGGGGAGCAAGAAGTATGACTTTTAGTGTCACTATCAGTTAAAAAGGACAGGTCCTTTTCACCAAGATGTCTGGTTTTTACTCCCTAAACTAAAAAATACTTCCCAGACTCCCTGGAAACAGTATCTACAACAATTTGTGAAGCCTCTTTCAGCATTGCATCTAAATTTTACTGCTGAATCCCAGAGAAGTTATGGTAACAAAGCCAGGGACAAAGATCATTTACTAATTCCATTGAATTATTTTATTTTAAAGTAAGAGAATCCCACAAATGTAGGGCAGGCAGGGGCTCTAAGGGGTGTGCCCATCCATCTTTCTTCATTAGCCAAATTAAATATACCTGGCATAGGTTTGTCTAGCCTGTTTTAACAGCTTTTGGAGAAGAACGTCCTCACCTTTGCTAATGCTTTATTCCTTTTGCAGTTGCAGGGTTATTCCTAGAGTCTAAACCAACTCTGCTGGAAATCAGGCCCGTTTCTTCTTATCCTTCAAAAAGGCCCAAGGAAGTAATTAAAGGTTTTCAGTTTTCTGGTGACGCTTTTATTACTCCAAATGTGTCATCACACAAAAATCATCTGCTACGGGATTTCGTAAATACACAAGCCTCGGCACAATTCCAGCAAGAGATTTGATGTATTTATACAAACTGTTCCTTCTTGGGGGTAAAGACAGCAACCTGGAATCTGAATGGGGAAGCAGGCATAACTCAGCAGGTTTGAGTAAATTGTATTCTGAGCGTCAACCTGAACATGTAAATGATATTCATGTTCCTATGGACGTCTCACATCACAAGGAGAGACTTTAAAAAAAAGGACTATTCATCTCACAGAGAGAGAAATTATGTGGAGTGGATGGAAATATTCAAGAATCGCAGGGAGTCAAGGAAGAAAAATGTTCACCATTTCTTTGTATATCAGATGTACAATGTTACTGGAAGTCTGTGGAGATCAATAATGCCTGAAGAAATTGGGAACTTAAATCATCACCCATTGTTACATATTGTGGAGGAAACACAGAGGGTGGCATAGCTTTTAATTTAAAATCATCCAGGAGAAAGGGAAACCTGATTGTTCCCAGATCCAGAATCCACGAATTACTGAACAGATGCATTTTAATTCCTTTTTCTTTCTGAAGGAAAGGGCCAATGGTACCTAAACAGGAGAAAGGGAAACCTGATTGTTCCCAGATCCAGAATCCACGAATTACTGAACAGATGTATTTTAATTCCTTTTTCTTTCTCAAGGAAAGGGCCAATGTTACCTAAAGTAACATGGGTGGCATAGCTTTTAATTTAAAATCATCCAGGAGAAAGGGAAACCTGATTGTTCCCAGATCCAGAATCCACGAATTACTGAACAGATGCATTTTAATTCCTTTTTCTTTCTGAAGGAAAGGGCCAATGGTACCTAAATGTTAAGAGTAATAAGGAATCCTACTAGTTGTGCAAAAACCTGACCTGAAAGCACAAACTCCCCAGCGATCAAAAACCCAAAGTCTCTTTCTGTTTCACAGCTCTGAGGTGGTAAATCAGGCTGCAGATCATTCACTCAGGCATCTCCTCCCCTTTCCCAAAAGGACTCCAGTGTCACTGGTTCTGATATACACTGGGTCTGGCTGGTTTGTTGTACAATGGGAAATGCACTCCTGAAATCTAAAAAGTCAACAGGATTTTTCAGGTGAAAGAAACTTAAGCTTCTGGGCAGCTTTAGGAGCACCCGTCTGCACCACTTGGTTCAGGAGCATACACCGATGTAGACGATTGAGCTACGCATGTAATGCTGAAAGCTTGATTTCACTGAGTATGTGCAGGTGATGAGACCAAGTCACAGCCTTCTCAGTTCCAAATTTTTCTCCATTTTGTTTGGTTAACAAAATGACTTCCAGAAATTTTCACATAAGCCCTTCCTGATGATGTAGCTTTTTACAGGGTCGTCATCAAAAGAAAGACTTTCAGAAATTTTCGCTTAAGCCCTTCCTGATGATGTAGCTTTTTACATCGTCGACATCAAAGGAAAGACATTTAAGACATTGAGGTTCTGGAGCAGGTCCAGAGAAGAGCAACAGGCAATAGGACAAGAGGAAACGGCCTCAAGTTGCACCAGGGGAGGTTTAGATTGGATATTAGGAAAAATTCCTACACTGAAAGGGTTATTAAGCCTTGAAACAGACTCTGCCCAAAGTTGCCCCAGGGGAGGTTCAGATTGGATAAAATTGGATAAAATTCCTACACTTTTTTTTATATTAAGCCTTGAAACAGACTCTGCCCAGGGAAAAGGTGGAGGCACCATCCCTGGAGGTATTTAAAAGATGGGTAGAGGTGGTTCTTAGAGACATGGTGTAGTGATGGTTTTTATCAGAGTTAGGTTGATGGATGGACTTGATGATCTTAAAGGTCCCTTCCAACCAGGGAAATCCTATGATTAAATTCAGGAGGTTACTCAGTGCAGGAACAGCAGAAGCCAGCTTTGATGTCCTGTGAGCACATGTGCAGTGTGTTTGAAGAACTAAGCCCAAGAGTATAATTTGTAATACAGGATATATTTAGCTGATTTCAAAGTGGGATGATTATAAGACCTAGCAGAGGCCATCAGGAAGATTCCCTCCAGCCTGTCCACTCTGTGCAGGAATTTCCTTCCCTTAAAACATAGGGTGAAAATGGTGAAGTCAACAGAAATTTTTGCAGAAGAAAAGACCACAGGATTCAGGTCTGACCTGAAGTCTCACGTCCTTTCATTGGCTCCAGTGAATCACACGGGAGCTCCTGGTGGTGCAAACTTTGGTGAAAAGACGCTGAAACCTGTTCGTTTTGATGATGTTCTGTAACTGACACTCGTGGGCTGTAACAACTCATCTCTGGGAGGCAATGAAAAGCTTACCAGAAAATTTGGTTGAGGAAGTATAAGATTTATCTCTACCAACTCAAAGGGCTAAGTACTTAAGGCTACAGCAGAACAGCCCTTAGAGAGCGGAATTTGCGGGCCCTTAGGATTTTCTTCTTCCTAACGACTCTCTACGCTTCTTGCCTGCGATAAAAACCATCCCTTTCTGCATCTCAGCATCTCTATTTCCTTTGATCTGTACACATTTCTCATTGACGCTAATAGAGAATGACACTGATGGGGAATATTTCTGCAACAGGGGGAGCATAGAATTGTTCTTCTGGTTAAAGCAAAAGCAATATGACTTAAGCAGAGTTTTTAAAAGGCTTTACTCAAGGCTGTGCAATTGAACATGATATTAGGCTTTCTCTCTCTCTTTTTTTTTCTTTTTTTTTAATTTTCATTGAGATTATGTCCATATTTTATCCAGGTTATTGTATTCTTGTAAAATTATACTGCAACCCACTCTAGCATGTTAACAACAAAAGAAATTCTCCAGCTTATTATAAACATCTTTCAAGAAACTAGAAGCACATGTCCTCTGGAAATAATTTTCCTGGTATTTAGATTATTACAAAAAATTTCCCCAAACGCTGGAATTATTTTGTAATGTTCCCTTATACTCCAGCTTGTTTGCTTAGGTTTTCTAGAATATTCTCCCAGTGCCCCAGTGTGGTACCTTCCTTGCATTGCTCAGGGAAGCTGCAGGAGAAGTCCAGAAACTCTGGTAATTTGAGTCTGTCTTCGCAGTGACAATTACCCAGTAACAACGTGCCATCAATGAAAAAAGACCTGGTGCAGGCACCAGCTGTGCAATAATTACAGTTGGAAAGAAAAAAGTGTTTCATCCTGCAGAGATGCCATATTTTGCCCCAAAGCAGACTGAAAATTTAAAATCTGAGAAATTTTTGAGAATTAACAAAATGGGGAGGCAAGTATGCTTGAAAATCAAGAAAATGTTTCATTCAGATGAATTTGGTACTTCTTTATCTCTGTAATTATTACCATTTTGTATCTTTGTCGAAACATCTTTTACTTCAATGTAAGTTCCTCACTGAAAAATCATTTTAAAAGCAGAAAAGATGATATTTTTTTCTCTTTTTTCTAAAAATATTAAAACATAGGGGTTTAGCCAACTGTGTGGTAAAGGGAGGCAAGAGGAGCAGAAATGGGAAACAGCTCTGGGGAGTGTCCTGCTCAGCTTCTGAATGTGCCTTATAGCCTGACATGGGTTTAGCCAGAATCAAGCCTCCCGTTTCTGACTTGAAAAGTCTCGAGACCAGTATGACCAGTACAGTCCTGATTCTATCAGTAACTGGTATTTTTTTTCCCCAAAGCAACAGCTGCCAGAAGCACATGAGAATCAATAGCAGGTTTCATTTAAGAACAGGCTAAATTTGTAGACACTGGGGCTGCTAGAAAGCTGGAAAACATAATCCAGTGTAACCTCATGCTCAAAATGAAAAGAGCCAAGACAATTCATCACTTGAGAAAGTATTACTTAAAGAAAAGTACTTGTATGATTTTTAAGCCAATTTACAGTTTCTGAACCTAGAGGTCTGGCAGCATTACAGCAATTGTATTGAAAGAGAAGAATATGGAGAAAATAATGTCATAGAAAGTTACTTACCAGGATCAATTTTCTTTGAGGTTTCAAGAGCTTGGGCTTAGGAAAATTATTGGCTATTGGAGCTACAGAAATAAATATTAAGGCATCAGTTCATATTATCATCATTCACTGTCATTTTTAGTATATGCATTATCAATTTATAAATAACAGATTAATAGTAGATTAGGAGCAAATACATGTACTTACACCAGAATTTAACTGTATTTTGAGTAACATATTTTACAATGAAGCATAGGGCTTATGAATTAGAAAAAATAGTAAGATTTAAAAATCTCATATGCAAAACATGCTTTTTGTGTGCAGAAAATGGTTGTACTCGGGATTTGAAATCCCTCTGCACTGCTGTGTTCATACCTTTTGCCGGGATGGCTGGTGGCTGCTCCACTTTCTCTTTCTTTTTCTTCACCTTCTTGGGCTGTAGAGGGGACATGCTTGTCACGCTGGTAACTGTCTCCCCTGAGCTGCAAAGCAAAGACCTGGATGTGAGGAAAAGAGAAGGCAAGGGAGGGAAAGGCAGTTTGTCCCCAGTGAGTTCATGCAAACGCATCACCTTCCACTCGTGAGAGTCCCTGCTCAAAAACTTGTATTTTTGTCCTTGGTATATACTGAAAAACCTCTTACAGGGGTTGGAAATACTCTGGGTTTTTTCAACCATACAGCCTGGCTGAGGAACTCAAGAGTCTGATTTGGCCTGGCACAGAAAATGCAAAGTGTCAGGTTTTAAACAAGACTCTCTTCATGGCAGCTATTCCTTCAACACATGTATGACCCTACTACTGCACCCCAGATGAGCTTGTACCTTTTGTCCTTGAGGAGCAGAGGCAGGGACAGGTTGGGTGACTTGGGTAGGCTCACACAGGAATCCTACAGCAAAGCAAAATCTTTGATGCTGTGCCCCAGTCTCTAAGTTTGGGCATTCTCTGTGCTGGAAAAGCTCTAGTAGGTATGGGGGAAGACTAAAAGCCATAGTGTAAACAGACTCCTGTCCAAGAAAGCTTCTGCTTTGGAGTCGTACAGTTTAACTTCCTTTAAGTCTGGGTTTTTTACCCATAGCATTTCCCAAAGTCTGAGGCAGTGTATCCTGCTGTGAATATTTAGTGCTTGGATGCGCAGTGAAGGTGCAGTGATTGCTGTCAGCTGAGCTGTGGTACCTGATGGTGCAGGTGCTCCTGGCTTGGAACTAACAAGCCATAGTGTAAACAGACTCCTGTCCAAGAAAGCTTCTGGTTTGGAGTCTTATAGTTTAACATCCTTTAAGTCTGGGTTTTTTACCCACAGCATTTCCCAAAGTCTGTGACAGTGTATCCTGCTTTGACTATTTAGTGCTTGGATGCGCAGTGAAGGTGCGGTGATTGCTGCCAGTTGAGCTGTGGTACCTGACAGTGCAGGTGCTCCTGGCTTGGAACTAACATGAAATAACATCATGTTGGATTAATTGGTAAGGAAAGAAACCTTAACTTAGAGCTGGGGTGTGGGGAGAGGGTATAGCAGTTGGTTACGATGGCTACGGTGGTGGAGGTGACTTGGTAAGAAGTTGTTGCTCAGATGGATCTGACCACGGGCTCACCTTGGAGAAGATCAACTCACTATGGGTGGGGAGACCTTTCTCTTCTGTGCTGGTGAGTTACACCATGGAATGGGATCCAGCCAAGGTCTCCATGGTCATAACACTAATTTCACTGAATTTTCAATCATTTATCCCATGTTGCTGCTCCTCTCCAGGTGCTTTTGCATAATGAAACGTTCTCTTTATATTAATAGAGTAAAATATTCAAACTGGGCCAAAGTCTTAATGAAAGTTAAGATGTCTCAGAGATTGCCCACGCAAGAATAACAAAATAATAGACATTATCATTTTATACCCCTGTAAATCCAGATGAATGTCACTACTGTTGGTAAAATCACTCTGGATTTACACTTTCATTGATTACAAAAAGCCTCTGGTTTGCTGATTTTTCCAGATCCAGGTACTCAGTCCAAAACATAGGTTTGCTGCCAAATTTTTTTAAGTGTTTATAAGGTAAAATATATAAGAAATCACATCAATTATGTAAATTGAGGGTTGCATTAGAATAATTTCAAATTCTGCCTGAGCTGTTGTGAACCTGTCCCACAACAACCAGTCATTTCTATGTTAAGATCAAAACATGAAATGGTTTAAAACCAGCAGGAAATGAAACTCTCCTTCCTGGCTCCATTGCCCACACACTTGCGAAGAATACCAAGAAGGAGATGACAATGATTTTTTTTAATTTTATTTTTTAATGTTTTTTATTTTAATAATCTGGGGTTATTGAGGCCGATGTGTCGCTTAAAGATGCTATTATTGTGATATAGCTACTTTAGGCACAATATATGAAAAGGCTTAGTGTTGATTCATCGCATTAGTTAATATTCCCACTTTGCCTCTGAAGAAGTGAAGCTACAGAGAAATGTATTTGTGGTTTCCGTTTTTCATTTAAATGCCAGGGCCACAGAGGGTTAACTAATTCTGGGTGATACAACAACTGCTCTTGCTGTCTTAAAACTGAGCTCCTCAAACCAAACAAGGCAGCTCAGAACAGACTCCTTGGCTCCGAAACACTGCCTCTTTGTGAGCTTTGTCTTCTTCTGTGTCTAAAAGGAAAGTTAGGTTTTTATCTCCAGCTCCTCCTCCGGCCTCCCGGCTTCGATTTCAACAGTGTCCCAGTGTGCATTTCTTGAAGGATCTAATGAGTTTGTAGAGAGCAAGAAAAATACAGGATTTGGTGGGGGGAAAAAAACCCTGTGGAAGGTGTCTGAGAATCATGGCACCAGGACAGCAGTTTGGTGGAGGTCACGGCTGTCCCAAGGCTGGCAAATTACTACAAATTTAACTTTACTGCCCTTATTAGTCAAGGATGTGGAACTTTTCCTGTTGTCATCTAAGTCAGCTATTTCCTCTTGTCAAAGGTCTGCAAGGGGATGGCAAAAAATTCCCTGGAGTGAACTTTGCTATTTTCCATCCAGGGAAGCTGTGTGAAAAGGTGCTGGGGATGGACTTGGTCCTGGTTCAGTCCTGCAGAATTTGCTCCTGCCATGTTAGATGGGCACCATGGACCCCAAGGTGTGGAGATGGACGGCTTTTTGAGGTAAACACTTTTTTTCACCTCAAATTATTTGTCTCTAGAAGAGCAGTCACTGACAGACTGGAGAGTCCAGGCCAAAAAACAAATACAAAAGGGAGAAAAAAATAATTCCTGTTTTCAAAGCTACACCTCCCGGGGCTTTCTGGGTCTGAAAACTGACAAAATGATCTAATAGCAAGGAATATAAGAAGAAGGAGGATATTTAAAGAAAATAAAACCCCAGAAAATGGAATCGGGTGGTTCGGAAAACCCAAAATAACTATAGTTTTTATTTAGGTATTTATTTTTAAAATGTGGGAAAGAGATGGGGTTTGGTTAACTTTTTTTTTTTTCCCTTAATTCGTTATTGGTCAAGTAGCAAACCAAACCCAAACGTTTGCTTTGTTCTGCTCAGGAAATCTGGATTTAATTTTCTTTTCTACCAAGGCCATTTTGTGAGACCCGGGGCAAATCACTTAGCCCTTTGCGCTTCAGATTCCAATTAAGTAAAAACACCATTATGATGTCAAGGCATGAAATATTTTAAGATGTTTAGGTATTACTGCAGTGGGAGTACAGGCATTTCTTAGACACCGGACTATTAATGTAATTTTGAAACTGGATTCTGCTCTGAGTTTGAAATATCACTGAGGGAGTTGGAGCTGAGCCTCTCTAATCAAGGCTGAATTTTGCACAGCGCAGTCATTTTGACTGGCAGGAGCCTTTTGCAAATTAGTTCATCAGTTTGGCCTGATGGAGATTTAGGCACTGCGTTTTGGGTCTAAATGTGTTGAATTAAGTTCCAAGACAAGGAAAGTGCAGGTGAAGAGAAACAAGTTCAAAGGAATTAATGGTTTGCATTTTGAGCAGAGGGTGAAAAATAAATGGTACCAAGTGTGAAATGTAACAAAACTGATGATACTGGTAACACATTTAATTTTAAAGCCCTGAAGTCAGTGCACATTAGACATGCTTTTTGGGACTGGGGCTTTCATTAGTATATCATGTCACAGCATCACAGAATGCTATGGGGTTGGAAGGGACCTCTGGAGATCATCTGCTTCAACCCCCGGCCAGAGCAGGTCCACCCAGAGCAGGTCCCACAGGAACGTGTCCAGGTGGGTTTGAATGTCTCCAGAGAAGGAGACTCCACCACCTCTCTGGGCAGCCTCTTCCAGGGCTCTGCCACCCTCACAGGAAAGAAGTTCCTCCTCATGTTTAGGTGGAACTTCCTACGTTCAAGTTTGTGCCCATTTCCTCTTGTCCTGTCCCTGGGCACCACTGAAAAAAGACTGGCCCCATCCTCCTGACACCCACCCTTTCAGTATTTATAGGTGTTGATCAGATCCCCCCTCAGTCTTCTCTTCTCCAGACTAAAAAGACCCAAGTCCCTCAGCCTTTCCTCATCAGAGAGATGCTCCAGGCCCCTCATCACCTTTGTAGCCTCTGCTGTCCCCTCTCCAGCAGTTCCCTGTCCTTCTTGTATTCATGTATTTCAGTGTCACAGTGAAATACATGAAACCATATTTTTATCCAGACAGAATCATGCATTATTTTTCCCTTTTGGAGACTCCATTTTATAGTAAAGAAATCCTGTTGGCTTGTTCTGCCCCTGCTATTCAGCCTCCTGAGGTTCACAGCACTATCACTACCACGTTGTCTCTTCCCCGAGAGGCAGGTTCTGCAGTACGAGTCTCTGAGTCTCTTTATCTGACTGCCCTGCTCCATTTTTTCGGTCATCTTTTCAAGTCAGGTCTCATTTTTCTCCTCTTCTTGTGTTCCCTCCCAATCTACTTTGATTTCCTCCCCCTCACCCTTCTTTTTCTTTTTTTTTTTTTTTTTGTCTTTGTAATTCCAGCTTTGTCCCAGCAGCTCATAAAGAAGGGGAAAGAGAAAACATCCAGGGAAAAACAAAAACTGCTGAGCTGTCTCTAAATGTTTGGTGTGGTGCAATGGCTGGTCAGGGTCACAGAACAAAGATCCTTCCATGAATAACATGAAAGTTTCAGTTTGTTTTTTGGCCTCTGCTGACCCCTCTGCTGCTTTGTTGTGACTTCCCTTCCACGTGAGCGTGGGTGAGATTGGACACAGCGGCAATGCCACCAGAACGCACGAAAAATTACACTATTGGAGGACCTCGGGTCTGCTGTCCTTGGCATTGAATCCCATAGTATTTAAAAAGATACCATGAGCAATAGTGTCTGTGATACCAAGTGATACTGGATTTAAGCTACAAGGCTGGAAACACATGTTTTATGTCACTGAGAACTGGGCAACAGCTGTTCTCCCGTGTTGTTATGAGCCGTCCCCCTTTAATCTTTTTTGTTTGTAAAATACTTTTGTCATCTTTTTTTTTTTTTTTTTTTTTTTTTTTATGCTGCAGTTCCAGTACAATTCATATCTCAGGAAAATCATACAATGGAAACGGGTTTTATAGCATCACACAGTCAAGAACTTTTGGCGGTCGGTGGTATTTAAAGGGACAGTGATTAATGACTGCAGCACAAGCAGGATTTTTCCCACCACTTGGAGTCCTCAGCTGGGAACAGACTGTGGGCTTGGAAAATCTGCTTTTAAGCCCCACTCGCCGTTCCTGGGTGCAGGAATCACTGGGTTACATTATGGTTTTTTCTATTTAAGTGGATGGTTTAAGGCACTACCATCCCAGTGAGGTGTTGGGAAACCTGAGAAAGTCACAGTGGATGAAAACAGGCTTGTCCAGAAAGGCATTCAGGGCCTCAAGGAGAGGCTTCTCACTGAAGCACCTGCAGGACCTACAGCTGGAAAGCCCAGGTAGATGTCCCTTATCACGCACAGCAGATGTTGGCTTGCAGTCACGTTCATGAGCCATGGACTTGGGACTCTTTATCCTCCTGTAGGCACTTTGGAAAACATCACTCATCTCCTTCAGCAAAACAAGAACAGAACTGGTGCATTGGGTTACAGTAAAGAGAAGTGTAATCTCCTACCTGTTCTGGGGGCATTTCACCAGGTAATGCTTCACTGTTAAAGAAAAAAAAAAAAAACAAAGAAAGAAAATGTGGCATCACACCATCACAGTTTATGAGTTACAACCGGGCACTGCTGAGAGTGTGGAGCTGCCAGGTTGTTACACTGGGAGAGCTGCTAATTGTCACCATACGTTATGTTGTGCATTAAAATGTATTCTGACTCAAAGATACAGCTGGGCTTGGGACAGGGGAACGTATCAAACACCACCAAAAATCTGCTGTGGAAGTGTTGGGCAGCAGGCATTCCAGCGGTCAGCCCAGCCAAGAGACAGCTCGCTAAGGAAAACTACAGCAGGCCAGTAATTTCACTTTGAAGACTTTTTATTTCCCTTGTGGTGCCTCTGTTTATTTCCAGAAGCCTGAAATAAACCATTCACCCACAGGAGCCACTGCTGGTCCTAACGTAAGCTAAACTGTGGGCTCAGGCATAAAGGGATTGCCTCCTGGGATCACATCAGAGGTCCAGTCCAGCCACTATCCCATCTCTGATGGCTTTGGGTGAGCTGGATAAATCCTTCTGCTTCCTATCGCTTCGAATCCACAGCCCTGAGCCAGGGCAGCTCCCCTCCCACAGCCTTTTTGGAGCCAGGGTTATTAAGATGCTCTTTTGTGGCTTAGTGGCTTCTGTGCTCTGCCCAAGCTGTGCCACGTGCTGAGCGTGGAGACACACAGGCAGGAGGAGAGGCTCTGCCTCTTCTGGCCGACTTCCTGCCAGCTTGTTTCTCAGAAGGAAAAGAGGGTGCATCCCTGAGCCATGATGGGGAGTTGGATACAACATAGACACACACCCCCCTTCATGTTCTCCATTCTTTCAGAGGCCATGAAAAGCTGGTGCACTTATGTGATTATGCCCCTCTCTACAGGAAGGTTTTCATAGAATCATAGAATTGCCCAGGTTGGAAGGGACCTTTAAGATCGTCCAGCCCAACCATCAACCCAACACTGAAAAAAACCATCACAACCCATGTCCCTCAAAAGCTGGTGCACTTATGTGATTATGCCCCTCTCTACAGGAAGGTTTTCATAGAATCATAGAATTGCCCAGGTTGGAAGGGACCTTTAAGATCATCCAGCCCAACCATCAATCCAACACTGACAAAAACCATCACAACCCTCATGGCCCTCTCAGCTTTTAAATACCTGCAGGGATGGTGACTCCACTGCTTCCCTGGGCAGCCCATTCCAATGTTTGATAACCCTTTCAGTGTAGGAATTTTCCCTGATATCCATCCTTTCTCCAGGCTGAACATCCCCAGCTCCCTCAGCTGCTCCTCACAAGACTTGTGCTCCAGACCCGTCACCAGCTCTGTTGTCCTTCTCTGGACACTCTCCAGCACCTCTTGTAATGAGGGACCCAAAGCTGGACACAGCTCTTGAGGTGGGGCTTCACCAGAGCCCAGTACAGGGGGATGGTCACTGCTCAGCCTCTCCTCACAAGACTTGTGCTCCAGACCCCTCACCAGCTCTGTTGTCCTTCTCTGGACACTCTCCAGCACCTCTTGTAGTGAGGGGCCCAAAGCTGAACACAAGGCTGTCTGCCTCCACTCCCTGCATGTGGTTGTAATGAGGGACCCAAAGCTGGACACAGCTCTTGAGGTGGGGCTTCACCAGAGCCCAGTACAGGGGGATGGTCACTGCCATAGTCCTGCTGGCCACGCTGTTCCTGACACTGGCCAGGATTTGTGTTTGGTCTTACCTAAATTCTCCTGTTCTAAGGAAGCCACACAGCTCCTAGGGGGCTGCAGTTTAGTCCCAAGGCTATCTGCCTCCACTCCCTGCATGTGATGCTGTGGTGAGGTGGGGCAGGTTGTCCTCCTTGTGGTGGTCATGGGGCCAAGGAACTTGGGGGAGGAAGCTGTTGGTGTCCCCGTGATAGGAGTGGGGTGACTGGGGAGGTTCAGGGAGAAGCCCTGATGGAAATTTGCCCAGCAAGGTGAAGTAATGAGATCATTTTGGATGTCCTAGGCTCCTGACCTGATTGCAAGGGGAAGAGCAGAGACAGATTTCTCTCGGAGGACCTCTGAGGAAGATGATGCTGCAACCATCTCACTGAAGATGGAAGATGGCTGTGCCTGGAGCCTTCCTGAAGGCCTGGGGTGATGCAGAGAGAGGACTGCTTTGCTGTCCCTGTCTTTCCTCCTTTCCTCAAGGAAGGATGAACAGATGCACTGAGGGATTTCCCCGCTGGCTCTTTTCACATGAACACCAGGATCTGCCTAGTCCAGCCCAGGATGGAGGTACAGAATGCCAAGGATGGACAGGAGGTAAGATAGCACTTTTTGAGGAGAAATGCCTTATTCTAACAGTCTGGATGGGAGAGGACTGCTGTTGGCTGACAGGGTGGGTGTCTCGTGGTCAGACCTGAACCCCTGGAAGGTGCCTCTGGAGAGGGTAGAAGAGTGTTGAGGGAGGAGGGGGCTGTTTGTGCCCTGTGTCCATATGGATGAGTGGAGAAAGTACCTCACAGGGACCAATTGCTGCCTGAGGTAGAGCTTCAGGGCTGAGCTTGCCACCATGGCCCAGCAGTCATGGGGAGAAAAAGCAATATGAGGCTGGTGGAAACTGTGTTCATCACTGATGCTCCTTCCACCGCCAGAAATTTAATTCCCTGATGCTTTACTGAAGGCTGAGCCAGTTAATGCGGCTCTGGAAAATACTCTGATGAAGTAGACCTAGCTGAAAGTCTTGCCTGAAAATCGTATTTGTTGTATACTGGGTGCCTGTCTGCTAAGATTTATTCTGTTACTTTTTCCCTGAACCTGTAAGTTTAATGTTGCCATTGTTTACTGGATAATATTCAAAATCTAAATAGAAATTTGGTGGAACCTGCAATTAGTCAGATATCAGGGTGGTGAAGAAGGGATTTAGCACCTCAGAAGAAATTACTTGTTCTTTGTTGTATCTATATTATATTCTGTATTATTTCTCTGTTTAACTGGTGTTGACTCGGTGTAAAGAGACCTTTCCTTCCAGCTGCTTGTATGCTTACACCAGCGTAAATCACCCAAACCAGAAGCAAAATCCAGCCCAATGTCTGCTAAAGAAAAGAATGGGATACAGCTGCCTGTCTAGTGGCCTCAGGATGACTCACCGTGACCAACATTCTTAAGTGTGGGTACTCCCTTGGCACAAACCCTTTGTCATTACTTAACAGGGGAGGAAGAATAACATTGATCTTCCTCCTTCCCCTAGGCCAACGGAGTTGTTGGGCTCAGTTAGAATCAGAGTTACTCTACTGAGCGCACTACCGGGAAGACTGAGGCACAGCCCGAGACGTGTTTGTGGTCAGGCAAGGACTTCTGTAGACATCTATTTTTGGTTTACGTGTCTTCTCCCTTGTGTATCTGAGTCACTCATTCCTTGGTGGTACGTGTGTAGTGCTGAAGAGGCAGCAAAGTCACGACTCCCTCCAGTCATTAACAGGGTAAATCACTAACCAAACGCTTTTTGGAAAGCTTCTGTTCAGGGATGGTCCTTCTGCTCTCCTCTAACATGGTGGCTGCTAAGCATCTCATCCTCACAGCTCGGGTGAGCTCTCCAAATAACCACTCTTAAACTAAAATAAAAGTAGAGCCTGCACTGGTTATTCCACAGACCTGGATTAGCACTTTTGATTACAATAGGGCTCCTTTCATTCAGATGTAGCCTCTTTGAGAAACCCTCTGTGAGGAAGAGAAGAATGAAACAGTAATCCCTGATCTTGAAAGATTATTATGAAAAGGCAGATCTGAATGATGAAATGATGCTTCTATTTCAAATAACGCTACAAATGAGAGAGTGCTAATAACAACCCCCGTATTCCCGAGAATATTGACAGCTAGTCAGGAAGGGAGAATAAAACAGAAGAGAGCAAGACCACTCTGAAACCCCTCTAAAGGTCTGCAGAAATGTCACTCGTGCAAAATGTTAGCTAGATATGGTCGGAATGCAATTTAATGATACAGCATTTGGTTTTCCTTGAAAGAAGTTCCAACAACCTTCAATTTATGCTTATGCAAAGCTGAGAGATTTTGAAAAGTCCGAAGTAAATGTAAAGTGAAATACTTATTCGAAGGGAGCAAAATGCCTTTGTTCTAGTTTTGCTGGCAGAAATGGTTTCTTCTACCACTTATTTTTCTTTTTAATTGAAATCAAGGCAAGGAGATATTTCCTGCTTTTTCTGCATTCTCCTTCCTGCCCCCTCTTCCCCTTTGGCAAGGGCCTCTCAAAATGACATTTCACTCACCTGTGGATCTCCTCTTGTTCAGAACTGACTGACAGAGAATGACAAGTGTGAAAAGGAGGACGCTGACGATTCCTATCGAGCACACAAACACCGCGTAGACGTAGAGATCTGAAAGCCAAGCACAGGTGACGGTCAGTGTCGTAGCTGTACCCTTCATGCTTACAGGGTAGAAACCATTTACATCTACAAGATCTAAATAGACCCCAACCCAAAAGATATAGGGTAATAGTTCAGAAGTGAGTTAACCCTCTTAAAACTTTCATATAGTATCCCACTCAGTTTAAAACTTGGCTGGAGTCCCCATAAACGCAAAGCGGTGCAGTAACACCTAAGAGGGCTTACATTTGGGAGGGAGGAAAGGGCTGCTTTGACTTTTTTTTCTTTCTTTTTTTTTTTTTTCTTTTTTTCTTTGTTTTTTGGTTGGGCAACCGGAAAACAAAAGAACTTCAACTGGATAATTTCCCAGTTCAAACAGCTGTACTTTCTCATTTAAAAAGAAAAAAAAAAAAAAAAAGGCTGCATAAGTTTTAAAGAGAGGATGAAGTCATGCCTGTTTTTTACTGGATCTGCAAAGAGTCCCATGTTCATTTGGGAGAGAGGAAAGGGGTGTTTTGCATTTTTTTTTTTTTTTTTTTTTTTTTTTTTTTTTTTCTTTGTTTTTTGGTTGGGCAACCGGAAAACAAAAGAACTTCAACTGGATAATTTCCCAGTTCAAACAGCTGTACTTTCTAAAAAAAAAAAAAAAAAAAAAAAAAAGTGGAGGGACGGGAGTCTGAGTGGTTGAGGAAGGAGGATGAAAGTCTGTGATTGCTTCCTTTGGTGGTAGCTCTGGCTTGAAAATTTTGTAATTTTTTTTATTATTATTTTTTCCAATCTATGGCCTCAGTCTCCCTTCATGGCTCTCATTCAGGTGCCATAACACATTCCCAGTGGAGGTGACAGGAGTTGTACCATGGCAGATCAAGTGGAATTATTTTGTCCAGAAGGAGAAATCTTTAATGACTTATTTCTGCTTCTACTAGAACTCTAAATAGAGTACTCTAAGGATGCTCTACCCATTAATGTCTTGAAATGTCCCTAGGGAGGCATATTGGCTTCTTTCCTGCTTTACAGAGAGGAAACTAAGCCTCGGAGGTCAAGTGTTCTTGCAGAAAATAGCGTTGCTGGAACTAGACCCCTGACCTGCAGTTCTGTGCTTTGTTCCCCTTACACAGGGCAACAATATAGTTTGCAAATTGTAGAATGATTTCTCAGGGAAGGCTTGAGTTTGCACAGGAACTAGCAAAATTGGTCCTGATTGGGACGCTTTAATTGTCCCTTAATATTGGACTAAACTGACATCTTGTACGGAACCAGTAGCAGTCAGATGCATCTTTACCTTCAAAAAACTTCCATGCTTCATGGTTTTTCTTGAAACTGGGATCATCAGATGATTTTGATGAAATCACTGAAAAAAAAACCAAAGATGACATAACAAGACCTGAAAATGTGTGGCATAAAAAGTTGAGACCTCTTGAAGTAAATGTAGTTCAGTTGAGACCTTTTGAAGTAAATGCAAATCTGCCTTAGACTTCAGTGCACCAACATCTTGCTTTATCTCACAGGGTAATTATCTTTCAATGAAACCCTTCAGTTATGAAACAGAATTATAAAGATGTCTTCCAGCAAATCTCATCTGGCTTGGCACCCCCCATGAGTGCTGTATGGCTTGAGACTGCCTCCCTCTTGTCATCTTATTCTAGGAAGATGCAACGCATGGCTCTTCATCTGAAAGTTAAATGCAGTGAAGAACAGCAAGAGACCAGAAACACACTTTAGAAGAGCTGAGGCCTTAGAATAGGGTGGCCGTGTGCTTATAAATTCTGTAATGGCTTTGTGGGGAGTGTCCCAGGAAAAAAGCTATCAATAATGCTGTATGCAGCTGGTTTTATTTCAACTCTGTGTTCTCAGTTACCCAGAACTCGTACCTCTAGGGTTGCAATTTGTGTTCTCTCCCAAAACAGGCTACTTTTTAGAGAGGAGTTGAACAACTTTTGCTCAAGAGAATGGGAATTTAATTTCCCTCGTGGTTATTAAGAAGGATTTTAAACACAGTAGTCTATTGCTAAGACTTAGAGGTTAAGGAAAAATAATAACTGGAAGAGCAGCAGCTTTATTGAAGGACACAGCTCTGAGGGCTTCCTAAGAATGACTTAAAGCCACATTCCTGAGAATGACTGCCACATTAGGCAGAGCTTTTTTAAAAAACAGGGAAGTTGCTCTAGCAGTGCTTGACACTGAAGTCATCTCTGTGGACACGATAGTGTTTCTGCAGCTTCAGGACTGACTCTGTAGCTCCCGATTTGGTCCAACCTGCCTTCCTTCCAAAAGCCTGGTGGATGTCCCTTGGCAGGTTGAACTGCCCTGCCATTCCTACACAGTGGCCAAATAACACCGTGAGAGACCCCAAGTGAGAGCACCGCTCCTGAGTTCCTTTTTCTTCATACTTCCCTCAAAAGTTGGCTTCTGTGCCGTGCCTTTTATATCTACATGGATATGATACCTGCCTACCTGAAAAAACCCACCCATGCGTGCACGGACTTTCTAAAGTGTGTCCAAATGCTTCAGAAATGTCCTATCTGAGCTGGAAAGCAGAATGCATCTACTTACCCTCAGTGTCCTTGGCTGAGATGTAGGAACAGACTGGGCTGAACACCTTAACTAACATAAACTCCTCTATCAATGACCACTGACCAGTGCAGAGCCGCTGAAGTTCTCAACTGGCTTAATTCAGCTGACCCTGGGTGGGAGTTTTTATCCTGAGAAGAAAGACTGCATGACCCCAAGTTGTCCCCGCTCACCTCTATAGCCTAGAAGAAGGGCTGGCTGAATGTCTATGTTCTAACTCAGTAAAGAGGGAAAAGAATAGCTGCAGTTTCAGGAGGAGGAGCAAATGACAGAGCTTTGGGCAAATTGATGGATGTCAATGTCATAACAGTTGTACAACCCAGCGCTAGAATCCAAATGCTCTGGCTGCTGGATCACTATTCAAAACCCTCTCCTCAGCCCCACATTGTTTATACATGCTGGCATTTTTTGATGACATCAGATTAGATGACCTCACTTATGTTAATCCATGATATTTTTGCCTGCTAGCAATGGAGCAGGAGTCTGGTGATGTCCTCCAGATTGCCAATGAGGTCTGAACGTCCAGCAGAGGTTCAGGTGGGAAATCATTAAAAAACAAGTATCTTACTGAAAAGGGAATTCATTAAGGAGTGCCCTGCAGGGATGTGAGGTGTGGGGCTAATTCAAAGGATATGGAGTTGTTTTTGGGACTAATGAAATCTTCAGCTCTGTTGTGATAACTGATGTGAAGTGCAACCTGAATATTTTAACAAATCTACTCATTTGTTACATGAAAGCATCAAACGGGTAGATTTTTGAAAAGTATTTTAGAATACCTTCCCTGAGGGGGGGGGAAAGGCTTTTGTTCTTTTTTGTTGGGTTTTTTGGGCATAACTGCAGAGACATTAAGTGGAACAGAATGTTAGACAAGACAGCAGCTGTGATTTGCTTGAATACTGTTACCTTACTTGATAAAGCACAAGCAGCACAACTTAAGTATCCAAATGCTTCAGGCAATTTGTTTTGCTCCTTTCGCTGCGTCCTGGATCTAACTGCAATGCAAGTAAATCCCTTCGCAATAAAAAAGTGTGAGTGATCATACTATAAAACGCAAAATGTGTTTGGAAGAAAATTTCCTTGAAAAGCCCAAGTGTTACCACGGGGGAAACTGGAGACTTTATCACTGCTCTGAAAAGAGTTGCCTTCCCTCCCGTGTGTAGGGAGTCCTGTGGCTCACAGTGCATTACCCCACTGCCAGCCCAGGCAGTCCTTTGCTTCCAGTAAAGAGAATTTTAGCAGTAAAACAGTTGCTATGGTATTTAAAGCGATGTCATCTTTCAGAGCAGTAAAACAGTTGCTATGGTATTTAAAGTCTTTTAGTCTTAATGTCTTTTAGTATCTTTGATCTGGGTTTAGAATTAGAAGAAATACTCTTTCGGAGGGGCCGGGTGGTCTCAAATCCCTGCTCTGATTATGTATTCATGAATCATACTAAAAAATCAGGGGGGAAAGTAGTATTGAAGGGCTGGAGAGAAAAGTTAGAGTATTCCTTTGCCATAACTAAGTTGATCTCAACCCCACACTTTAGCTAGTGTCTTTTAGTATCTTTGATCTGGGTTTAGAATTAGAAGAAATACTCTTTCGGAGGGGCCGGGTGGTCTCAAATCCCTGCTCTGATTATGTATTCATGAATCATACTAAAAAATCAGGGGGGAAAGTAGTATTGAAGGGCTGGAGAGAAAAGTTAGAGTATTCCTTTGCCATAACTAAGTTGATCTGAACCCCACACTTTAGCTAGGAAGAGCAAGGAGAAGTTCCTGTGTTGCACTTAGCAGCAGCCTGAGCAGCTGAGACACAGAGTGGCTTTTCCTGAGCAGGGGTACGAGGAAGAGCAAGGAGAAGTTCCTGTGTTGCAGTTACCAGCAGCCTGAGCAGCTGTGAGAGACGCAGAGTGGCTTTTCCTGAGGAGGGGTACAACGGGTGGTCCAACAATATTTTATATTGCTTGTCCTTCTGCTGCCATTTACCTGGAATATGTCATTCCCTTCTCAAGAACTCCTGAAAAATCCATATGTTTCTCTACAGGCATTTAAGAAATTCCATCATTCAGTGAATGAGAAAACACTCTTTAAAACGCTGACCTGCCGCATGAAGTGACACCAGCACAGGAAAAACCTAAATTCTCCATCTGATTTTCTTTCTATTTTTCCTTTGTTTGTTTGGTGTTTTTTTTTTTTTCTGACAGCCTGGAGGGTATGTCACACAGGTTTCATTAGCTTCACAGCTCAAAGAGCAGTTTCTTGTCTGATTTTTCCTGCTGTTTTCACTCTTGTTTTTGAATGAGGAGGAGTAAAACCACTACAGCCCAACATCTCCTGAACTCAGCCATCTCAGTCTCTGGAGGGCATTACGTTTTACAAGCACTGACCCCATGTTGGGTGGCTGGAGCCAAGACACAGTGGTTAGTCTTGTAACCACACAGGGATATGACATGAAACTTTATTGCAGGCATGATTTAGCTCTGCAAACTTCAGGCATTAGCTTGCTTGGTCCTCAGCAGTTGTTCTTCCCTGCTGTTCCTGTGCTTGGCTCGGAATTGGCTCTCCTCCTCCTCTCCCTCTCTCTTCCTCCTTCACCCCGCTAGATTTGGCTGAGAGCTTCCACCAGTGCCAAGAAGGAGCTGGCAAGCAGGGGGACTGGTGACCCCAACTGCCTCAGCCTTTGGGAAGGGGCAAATCTGGCGACTGGTGTGGGGAAGGGAAGCCAAGGGTCTCATCCCAACCTACAAAGAACCAGAGGTTCAAAGACGGTGCTGGAGGAGAAGAGGAGGAAGAGGATGAGAGCAACTACCAGGTGGTGTTACTTCCAACAGCACCTCGAGGGGATGGCCCAGGGCTGGGAGGTCACCGTACAGTCCTAGAATCTCCTAGAGGATAGACCACACCTTTTACCAGTGCTTTGGGGAGGAAATTCTGAGGATAACTTGAAGCATAGGAGCTAGAGAGGGCCAGGTCTGGTGTCAAGACGCCGAGAGAAGCAGTGAGGGAGGAAAGCAGTGTTTCAGCTGGGGGCTTACATAGTACCAGTCCTCCCCCTCAAATCCTCTGCACCAGACCAGTAGCTGCCTCCAAGGGCAGGACACTGAAAGGTGGAGTGGATACCAAGAAATTTGTTTCTTGGTTTAAAATTGATCCATGGTGTTTGCTATTAATCTAAAGAGAACTTCAGCTTTGGATTGGTAGTGTCTTTCATTATTGCTAGTAATAAAAAAATAAAATATAAAATATAAATATAAAAAAAATAAAAAATCAGCTAATTGCATTATGTTAATGTCACAATTTCTCAAGGTGGGTTTAAACATTGCTGGTCAATGTGAAGCTGCTGTTTATCTCTTGTTATAGTGTGTTTTTCACATCTTTGTTCTCGTACTTCTGATAGATCAAAATCAAAGCGTGTGATACCTGAGAGGTATCCACAGGAGGCCATGCACTCACAAAGATTAGTTTTTACTGTCACATTTGTCTCCCTGGTGTGTGTATAATCCAAAAGTGATATAGAAACCTGGACGACAGCAGTGAAGTTGATGTTGAACAGGATGTGCTTTGGATTAAGACTACCTAAAAGTGTTTGAGTTTATCTTGAAAAGTCCTGCAGCCAACAGACCTCTCACAGAGCAAAGTTGGTTTCAGAGGAGAGCTAGGGCCACCTTCCCCAGAAAATAAATTGGATACGTGGGATTAGGGTTTCCCAGCTACAAGAGTAACTTTTGCAGTCTAAACACAACAATAAATTCAGAGTCAACAGCAATGGCAGAAACTTTATGAAGAACTAAGAGAAGACCCAAAGATAAGGCCTGTTTTCAACTTGGTTCAAAACCCTCCCTCCTTGCTGCTCACTTCTTTATCTGGAGATCAATGCCAGCAGGCTTGTCACTGCTCTTCTAGCTCTGCTTTCTGGCTACCACTGTAGAATCAAAAGTACAGAAATAATACTCAAAATGCTTCCTACCAACTGCTGCTGGACTAGAGCTGAAAGCAATAAAAACACCAAGAGAAAGGCAAAACATAGAGCTAAACTAGAATGCTTCTATTTTGGACTGACCTGCTGCATATTCTTCAGAAAATAAGTTCATTTCTCCCTGTTCCTGTCTCTTTGTATTTAAATAATTATAGCATCTGTTTATTCCTACTAGCAAAGTTGTAGAAACCTATAGCTGAATGTAAACGAGTTTTAACTACTGTTATTCTGGTAAAAGGCAAAGGAAATAGACTATCTTCTACAAATCTACCAGTCTTCTCACTTTCTACAGTTTATTATGGGCTGAGTAATGTTTAAATTGTAATGTGCAAGTAATGAAGTTGAGTATTAGGCTTTGTTCTCATATCCACACATAACACTTAAAAATAACCTAAATTCCGGTATCTTGTGGATGAACTTGCAAGAAAAGAAAAAAAAAAAAAAGGATCACGGCACAAGAAAAATGATAGAATTGAAATCAGTAGTCTCTCACCTCTTATCTCAGTAGCTGCTGTGCCATTTGACCATGCTGTCCACTTATTCCTGTGTTTGCCAATTTCCTGGACTTTACATATATAATGTCCTTGGTCCGTTTGCTGGAGGCTGAGGATATGAAATTTGTACATAGCTCCATGTTTCTCTTTCAGAAGATGCAGTCTTTGCTTGTGGAAATGGTGAGTGTAATTTCCGTAGTACTGGACGGAGCCAAACTTTGTCATTTTGATCATCAGGTGCTCCTGGGTGGGTGACGCAGCGAAGACCCACCGCACGGCCAGCAAATTGTCCGTCCTTCTCTTTTGAGAAATGTGGCAGTAAAGGGTGGCATTATCCCCCTCGGAGTATCGCACGGTCGGTCCTGGAGAGACTGTCACATTTAAAGCCTCACAAACATCTGCAAAGGGAAAAAAAGATGGTGAGAATCCTTCGTACCGGTAAACAGCACCATAATCTGTCCCCACGAGCAAGTCCACCCAACTGGTGGCATCCCTTCAGTACAGCACCATAATCTGTCCCCACGAGCAAGTCCACCCAACTGGTGGCATCTCTTCAGTGTGCAGCGATTTAATGAGCTTTTAGAACCCACCATCCACTGGCTCTCTGTGAATGTTAAAGGTGGTATGAGGCTCTCCTTCACTGAGTCTGCTCCAGTGCTCTTGCTATCGCTAATTAATAAGACAGGGCTGAAGTTGACACCTTGGTTCATCGCATCAACATATCTTTCATCCAACATCACAAAATCTTTCGTCATCTGAACAAGCATTAATCTGGAATTAGCTTGGAGAAAGAGCCAAGGATGTCTTTTGGAAAGCTGTTCCCTGACCAGCTCTTCTGACGACTTGCACCCTTCTTAGGACAGCAGGGCTAATTTGTTCCAATAGCCAGTTTATGCCCACTTGTTCCTGTGCCAACTTTAAGTTTAAATAAGTGTTTTCTTCTCTAGCACTTGCTTCCTGACTCCATATAGAGCCCAATTATCTGGTGTCTCAGCCTTCACTTTGTTGAGCTAAAGAAGTCAAGCTCTGTTAGTCTCCTGTAGTAAAGGGGTGTCTCCACTTCCCTATTCACCTTAATTGCCCTTCTCTGCATTGGTTCCAGTTGAAATTTTGGGTTTGATTGCAATTAATATTTTTTTTTAAATGTGGGTGCCTGGAATTATAGATAGTGTCTGGAAAGAAGGTCTCCAATGTCCAGTGAAATAGTCACGGTACTTCCCAGATTTGACTGGGATATACCTTGCCTGGTGTATCCCAGAATTATGTTGTTTTAGACATCGTTTGTAGAAACCTTACATGACTCTGTTCCCTAGATGATCACGGAAAGACTATTAACTTCCCTATGTGCCTGTAACCAGCTCCTCATTTACACTTCCCCATGGCCCTTGTTTCAAGTAATATTTTCCTTATCATAATCAAATGGTCATCTCAAGATGCATTAAATCTGTCAGATTAGTCCTTCTGACCACAAATTCGATTTAATCTGACATTACTTGAATGACAAAATATGACATGAGATTATACTGAGACAAATATCCAACCCAAACCACTCTGTGATTCCGTGAAATTATTATTCCATTATTCTATTCATTTCTGACTCTTGTTTTTCCGTTCTTCAGCATGAACCTAGCTTAGGCCTGTTCTTGGTCTCTCTGCTTTATTTCTCCCCACGGCCAGAATAGGTGAAGGTTAAAAGAAATCCATGGCTGTTCATTAGAGGAAGATTTTTCTTTCCTGACCCAACTGATTTATGCTGGGCTGATTTTCTGAGGCACGGGAACCAACACTCAGTTTATTTCCTTCCTAATAGACATGAAGAACCTTCTCATTAGTCATATCAGAGACTGGTCTATTTTTGACCAATGGTATATGGTGGCGATGTGTTCCCTAAATGACTTGTAATGTGTAATCCATCGGTCTGATGCCATCCATGAGAGAGAGAGAACCATATTTCAGCAGTGAGCAAGCACTCCCTGAAACGCACTCCGCAAAGCGTGAAATGGCCTCTAAAATGTGAATATTAAGCTTCCTGTCATGTGGATATACTGTACTCAAATACTAATGAGAATTGCAACTCTGGGAGAATGATTTTTTATTTCTTTTTTTTTTCATTTCTGGACACTTTTCTAGCACATCAGCTAGGAACATTTTAACAAAGGGGATGAGCATTTTGGCAGAGACTCTTGTCTGACATCAGCTCCTGAAACACAAACATACATTTATCTTCAAAATAAGCAAGTATTTCCATTCTATTTCTGAAGGAGTATTGGAGGCAGAGACACTGGTTTTATGGCCCCAGTGAAGCCATCAAATTGAGTGGTGAATTGTATCACCTTATTTAAAGTAAATCCACTATATTAAAGAGGTGCAGTTGTTTGAGGAGAACCCGCTGAAAATTAATAGCATAATAATTACTTGGGGTAATTTTAATAAAAAGCTCTACTAAATGGTGTGTTTTTTCTAAGTAGACGTTATTTTTTCTTTATGAAGGAGAAAATAAGTTTTATAAAGAAAGTTTGGAGGTTTTTAAAATCTCTTTAAGGAACTGCAGCTAAGCATGGCCTGGATTATCGATATAATTATCTGTGCACGATGTTTAAGTGTGCAATTCACGTAAGTGCCAAAGCAAGAGATTATTTTGGATTGCAGACAGCACACAAGTAGAACAGGATGTTGAAATTGAAAATTAAGGCTGAATACCACCAAAAGCTTTCCAGGCATGAAACTTCAGTTATTACTTGCTGGAGTTGCCTGACCTTGGTGCTTTACAGCAGATGTGAAGACAAGACGGCTCCCTCTGCCATCAAAATAAGATTATATTTTGAAGGTTGTGCTGCTCAGAAAATAAGGAATAACTTTAAGAATTTCAATACTTTTGGAGGTCCTCATAGTTACTTATAATATAATTAATAATTCGTAAAAATGCGGTTTGAGTAAATGAAAAACACAACCTTTTTCTACCGAAATTATGAACACGTCCTGAAAACTGTAAAGAAAAACAATTATGTCATTTTCCTGACATGTGAGCTTCTTGTTTGAAAAAGCTGGCTACGATTAATTGTGGAATAGAGTCCCAAAATAAAAGGCAAAAAGAATCATTGCTTAATTCTAAACTAGGCAGAACTTAGTGCCAAAAAGTACCCAAGAGAAAATACAGAGGAACTCAGATATGGTGATGATGGAAGCCTCTGCAAGAAGATAAAGCAGCATTGTCTGTGGTGTCTCTGATCCCTTTCTATCTGTGTACACTCATACAAACATTGGCATTTTATACCTAGGGCTTCTACTTCTCCTCTGGGGACATGCCTTATAATCAGGAAATATCAAATTTTGCATCCTTTGTGTTGTCTGATGAGTGGGAACTTGTCTTTCTTCTGTGGCTCCTGCTGTGGTGGCAGTGGGGCGAGTTTGGGACATTTCCTGATGCTTTGCCCATGATCTCATCTTATGTTGAATGGGGTCAGGTGACGCTTTATTAAAAAAAAAGCATTAAAAGCATCCATGTGACTCTGTCCTCCCACTGTCACTGGAGCAGGAACGGTGGTGGATTCTGGAGGAAAGAGGTCATTTACCTCTTATGTGGAAAGGAAAAGCCTCATTGGGGCTCCCAGACACTGGCAGAAACGTTCCTCCTGTCTTTAGCCAGCGCTGGATCAACCCCAACATGAGGTTTTACCCTTGTAATGGGCTCCTCACCAAGACAGGAGATCCCTCCACAATGTGAGAGCAGGCTCGTGTGCCAACAGAGCACTGGAGCTCCACACTTCAGATTGCTGCTTGAAGTGGGAAACCACTGGTTTTCTTCTCCTGCCTTCCCAGTACAGCATGAGGTACCCGCTCAGGTGGAGCCCACCACAAGAGTTTTAGTCTTGTTTCTGCTTGGAAAGGGAAACTATTTATAGAAAAGGGGAGGAGAGTGAGTCAAAGGATTCCTTTCCAGGGCGCTGAGTCATCAATCGCATCTCTCCCATCTGCAATTAGCTCCTTTAGTTGCCCCCATCCTGATGTTTTAGCCATTTGTTTCTTCAGTGCCCTCCACCTGCAGGTCTCACCAGCCTGGTGGGGGCCGGGGAAAGTCACTGCTGACTATACTCTGGTCTGAAAAATCCTATTTTGAAGATAGTTGACTCCATATTACACAGCAAAACATGTAAGAAATTACACTTTCAGCAGCCAAAAACCTGTCTGTGTCGAAGAGTGGCAGAGGAGCCACAGTCACTGCAGGGTCCCCATGTTTGGTGAGCCTTTTGGTGGAAGAACCCCAGCTACTTCAATGGAGATACTCGCTACTGCTCACCATCCAAGTTTAGTGTTTAGGCCCCTCTTCCTTCCTCCATGGGCACTGACAGGCAGAATCTACAATTTTCCTCTTTTTTCCCTCAGCCCCTGTGACAGCCAAGGGACAAGACAGGCACCTCGTCAGGGAAGGTACCTTCTGGTCTTGGATTTCCATGACCAGGAGCACGTTGGGATGGTTTTTACCCCTGTTGTGGTTTGCTCTGTGACACAATGCTGCTGTCAGAGCCTGCTTAATTTTGACTTCGCTACAATTGCAAAGTTAGAAGAGCAGATAAGCCAGCAAAAAGCAAAGCTCTTTGTTTAAACGAAAATAATTAGGAGCCTGGCTGGCGAGATGGCCAAAAGCAAGCAGCTGTTTTCAGTTGGAGGGATCTGGGAGTTTCACAAGTCGGAGGCTCCTTCTCCACCAAAGCTTCTGAAGTGACTAAAGATGGACTTGAACCAAACCTCTGCATCCACCATCTCCTGCCCTTTTTAAGGTGAAGATCCCAATCCAACTCTCGTTACTAACTCCAGATGGAGAGGAACTCCAGATGGATGGGAGCTTCCCCGATCCCTAACCCAAAGTTCAGATCCAGACCTCTGTGTCTGTTTTTGTAGGACACCACACTGGCCACCACCAGTTGATTTTGGGGGCAGAAAGGTCTTGAGCCCGGGAGGTTTCTCCCAAGTGCACCCATGGGTTCTGTTTCCAGCGGGTACCTATGGGATGGTGGAGAAGGCAATGCCCCATCTCCCCTCAGCTCTGCCCGCAGTTCCTGGGTGCTCTCAGCATCCTCCCCCGGCACCGGAGGTGGCAGAGGACACATTGCCATCAACTTCTGCAGGGGAAGAGGGGGATTTCTGGGTTTGGTTGTATTGTTTTTTGGGGTGACACCAGCGTTGCGGGTGAGGTGGCGGTGCAGAAGCGGGGAGGGAGCAACCCAGGCGGGGG